CGTATCGCGCGATTCGCAAAGTCTGACATCGGCCTATCAAGGAAAACAAAATAAGCATTGGGTGTGGTTCGCTAGGGCAGAATGCGCATTTCCGCTTTTTGTAGCGTGAAACTTTTTTAGCTGCGCGAACCACGGGTCTTCACTAGTAGTGGACCTGGAGTTCTCCCAGCGAAGAGTTTCGCTTGCAAAAAGCGGAAAGTCGCTCTCTGTCCCAGTGAACCACACCCATACGCATTTGCAACAGTAAGATACAAATTTGAGCTACAGTAATAGAACTGTATCGGCAGAAGGATATAAATGTTCTGTCTTTACACGACTATAGCAGCGCAAATCTTATGCCAAGTAATAATCCCCATGAGCGCTACCTAGAACGCAAAAAGCTCTTTGTACTGAATACACTACTGCATCTATACTATTATGTTAGGGTGCCCCGAGAATCAACATAGAGGGTTCGAGCAATGGAGCGTTCACGTGGCAGCGGTGCTACTTGCCGCAAAATCCTTCTTGTGCATTCAAACTGCCATTTTTACTTCAAATGTAGGAATGCAGATGGTAGACGAAGAACATATGAGCCAAATGTTGAAGGAGGTGTAGCGACGTGGTCAATGAAATAGACCCAATTGCAATAATCTGTGAAAAACGCTATAGATTGCCCGATCGAGAGTATACAAGATGGCGAGGTTTCAAAAAGACCGAACACGGAATTAACTAGCAGCAATTAGTCTTGCAAAACTGCAGAAAAAACTGACCTTGTTGGCTCATTAGCAGGTTAACGTATTCAATGACGTCGAGAAACAGCTCATTTCGTCTGTATTTTATGCCTTCTCGTCTCCATCCTATTTGCCCAGTCACCTGCGAGGTTATCTGAGACTGCTCCTCTTTGGTCTGAAATTGTTATGGGTGAAGGCATAACTTGAATCTACGATTTCTGTATAAGATTTTCAGCGACGACGGGAGAGTGCACTGCTCGGGTAGGTTAAATCTTAGGCTGGTGCCAGAGTCCGAGATTCGTCGCGCGATTCGCGCGATTCGCAAGACGGAACACAGAAATTAGAAGTGCTGAAAACTGCAAGGTGCTCTACAATCCCGCCACCATTTTTACTTGATAGTGATGATATG